TAGGGAAAAAGGTGGAAGAATTAATTGGATAGGTTGATTGTTTTATAAAAGTTAAAAATGTTAATCTTCTCCCATTTTTTTTCTTATTTAGGTGTGAAATGTTTTTCTTACTCTACAAGTCTGATCAGCCTTGCATTCCTACCGCACATTTTTGCACAAAATAATATTATATTTGGAAGTCTGCCTTTGCAAATCTTATTTTATGGCATCATAGGAAGCTTTACAGTGATCACTCCGACACTGCTTCACTTTCTTACAAAAGGCTATGTCATTCGGTTGTACCACGAGGCCACAACAGACACTTATAAAGCCATTACTTATAATGTTGTGCTTTTGGAAACGAGTACAGTGTTCCACCAGAATGACGTGACGATTCCAAATAGCACACATGTGTTTACCACATTTTATGCTAAAACAAAATCACTGTTAGTTAATCCAGCACTCTTTCCAAACCCCGAAGATTATAACCATCTAATGGGTTATGACAAACCATTCACTTTTGATGTGGAAGAAGCCAGTGAAAAGAAACAGCTTGAAGAAGAGAAATGAGTCTGTCGTTTTTATGTTTGTGCTTAAATGTGATTTATGTTCCAGTGTATAATAATTGCCTTATGATTTTTGTTAGTGACTGATTGTTAAAAAAATAATTTGAAATTGTATCACAGAACTTTTAATTTCCAGAGAATTATGTTCCTTTATAATAAAAAAAGTTATGTTTGAAAAACAAAACATACAATACTCTACCTTGTGTTAAAAGGGTGTGAAAATACATGTATATGCTGACATATGCATGGTTACTTTTATATAATAAGTGTGATTCCCTCTCAGCTGGGGATTGGATGTCAGAAGCAAATGGGAAAGTTATTTTTCCTTTGTGTTTGGATTTTTCTAAGGATATAGATATTACCTTTTCCCACATTGAAAACTCTTTAAAAATTCACAGATTATGGGAAACTGTTAATCTGCTTCCTTTGGCTCAGAGCACAGGTTTTTGCCTATCATCTCTGGCATGGCTGCCCACGTTAAAGATATCCATGTCCAGTAGGGTGTGGTTAGCTCTTGGGGAAGTGGTGACCTAAGTAGTATCGTCTTCAGTGGTTCCATTTGTCCCTCCATGTACACTCTCCTTTGTTACACCCTGGCACAGTGGGAAAATTGTATGTACTACATAGATGGATAGTACCTTTTATAAAATAAAAGTCTCCATGCTAATGTTAAGTTGGTTCTTGTGAAGGATTTTCAGCCAGGAACAAAGGGCCTTAAATCATGCTATTTAGACTAGTAGATACTGATTAAGTGCCTAGAGGGTGTCAGGTACTGGGCTAGTTGCCAGAGTCACAGTTGAGAACAAAACACCCAGTCTGTAGAGAGCTGCTTAACATCTATCACCTGCCACGATGATAAATCTAATGTTTCTGGCTTGCCTGTGGTATGAGGGAGGTGGATGGAGAAGCAGCAGGGACATCACTAGTTCTTAGGGGAAAGATCAAGTCTGAAGCTGCTAGGTTATAGGAGACAGCTTAAGGTAGAACAGTGCTCATCTTTCTGAGACTTAGAGCCTGCCCTCTGCTAGGATCAGCCAGCTTGTGGTCTTAGTAGAGGGCGGGCTCTATTCTCAGATGAACAAGCTGCCACTACCTCTGTCCTCAGTTTGGGCCTCTGCCTGTCTGCTTTTCTGTCCTCTGTCACCTAGATATGGGCCTGTTGCTATCTTAGCAGTTAATGTGATTTATATCTTTCTGTAAAACGATTATTCCAGGGCTTCCCTGGTGGTGCAGTGGTTGGGAGTCCGCCTGCCGATGCAGGGGACACGGGTTCGTGCCCCGGTCCGGGAAGATCCCACGTGCCGCGGAGCGGCTGGGCCCGTGAGCCACGGCCGCTGGGCCTGCGTGTCCGTAGCCTGTGCTCTGCAACGGGAGAGGCCACAACAGTGAGAAGCCCACGCACCACAAAAGTAAATAATAAATAAATAAATAAATAAAGTAGTAGTAGTTTAAAATAAAAACATAGGAAATGAATGGATAAAAGTATGCGTAGGGTCCAATTTAGTGTTATTAGGAGGTAGAGAGGCCCCCGTACCGCAAAAAAAAAAAAAAAAAGATTATTCCATAATCAAATACTCATTATCAAATGTTAGATAAATATTAGAAGAAAACAGTGTTGTTAACATTTCAAAGTTTTCTCTCAAGGGTCAGTTTTCTCATAACTTGTTTTTAGTACATCCTATCTCTTTCTTTAAATGTCCTATATCCATGCAACCATTTTGTCACCTGTGGAGTGGAGTGAAAATCCTATTTTTATGAGTATCAATAATTCCTCAATTGTTTAGAGAAAAGAAAAAAGGCTTAAAATACTACATGAGAAAGATGACTTCTCAAGGGCATGATTTGGAGTGAGACCAAGATGTAGAAAAGGATCAGCATACGTAGGATACCATAATGGTTCATCACTGAAATAAGTCTGCAGAAACAGCTCAGACCAAGGTAAGAAATATACGCACATCCTTCCATGCCACTTTACTACCCTCTCCCCAGGCAGAGTAATCTTGGAAAGATTAGGAAGGTGGTGAATCTCTCTCTACCTATGGGAAGGATATTGAGTCAGTTTTATTTGAGTCCCAAAAGGCAGGGTGATCCCCTTGGACCTCTGGGTTACATCAGATAGTGTACCCTTTGACAATAAGATGTAATCCTTTTCCTCAACGTAGATTACATCATACTGAAAGACTTCAGCTTTTGGGAGCAAAAGTAAAACGGTCATTAGGTATGAATGACAGCCTTAGCTTGGACACATTCGTTAAAATTGTACTCTGATTTTTTCAGAAAAAGTGACTCATCATCCAGATTCATTGTTTCATCTAGATCACTTGCCGTCTACTTTTATTTGGAACCAAATCCCAGACGTCATAAGATTTCTTTCTTAAATATTTAATTTTGTAACTCTACAAGATAAAGACTTTAAAAAATAACAATACCATCATAATACTTAAGCTGCCCTTGACCCCAGTGTTATCAAATATCCAGTCTACTCAAATTTCCAATTGTTTCATAATTTTCACCCCCATTTTGTTTGGATTAAGATCTAATTAAAGTTCCCACCTTATTCACACCTATTTTCTAAGTCTCTTTTAAGACTTCTAATCTATGGGCCCTTCTATATTTTTCACTTTTGTTTTTGTTTTTTTAGGCCCTCCCACATGGCATGTGAGATCTTAGTTCCCCAACCAGGGATCAAACCTGGCCCCCGGCAGCAGAAGCACAGAATCCTGACCACTGGATTGCCAGGGAATTCCCTCTTTCACTTTGTTTCCCCCGCCACCCCCTGCCCCTTGCAAATCATCTGTTGAAGAAACTGAGTTTTTTGCCCTATATATGTTTTCATGGTCTAGATTTTCTGATTATATCCCCAAGGTGTTGTTTAACATGTTTGTCTGTCTACTGTATTTGCTATAAATTGAGGCTTTATCAGGTTGAGGTTTGATTATTTTGGATAAGACTGATTCATAGCCGACGTTGTTTGTATTATTTTTCTATTGTTGCATAACAAATTGCCCCTAAAACTTAGAGGTTTAAAACATCAACAAACGTTTATGATATTGCACAGTGTCTGTTGGTCAGGTATTTGGGAATGGCTTAGTTGAGGGGGTGTGGCTCAGGTTCTCTCATGCGGTTGCAGTCAAGATATCAGCCGGTACTCCTGTCATTTGAAGGCTGGGCTGGGGCAGGAGGAACTGCTTCCAAGGTGGCTCACTCACATGACTGACAAATTGGTGCTGGCCTTTTGGGAGGAGGCCTTGGTTTCTTACCACATGGATCTCTCTTTAGAGCTACTTGTTTCCCCCAGAGCAACTGATCCAGGAGAGCAAGGTAGAGGGCAAAATGTCTTTTATGATCTACTTTGGAAGTTGCACGTTAATCATTGTGCAATATTTTCTTAGTTACACAGTCACCCTTATACATTGTTGGAGGGGGCTACACAAGGATTTGCATACCAAGAAGTAAGGATCATTGGGAGCCATCTTGGAGGTTGGCTGCCACCATGTTCATCCATCAAGAAGAATACAATGTCTTTCTGCCTCTGTCTCTGTGACATTAGCAACTACTAATGCTCAGTGCGCAAGTTTACTAATTCATTAGGTGTTGCAAAATGGTTATATTCTATCATTCCTTTTTCATATATTAGCTGAAATACTTCTAAAAGTAGAGAAAAGAGTATGAGAAGGCAAGGGAAACTTGCCTCTCTGTACTAGTTGGTTACCAGTAGTTCAGTTTCTACAGAAAAGTCAGGATAAATGCTTGATTCTTTCCCTTTATCAGTTTTCAAAACAGAGTTGGTTTCCTAGCATCATCTGCTGATTAGACTTTAAAAAAATTATTATGAGCTGATTGATTTGAATATATTTGATGTATTTCAATTCATCGCAGTTACTATCTTATTAATGATCGTAATAGTCTACAGGTAGGCTGAATGTTCATGTCTGGAAGCTGTGAATGTTACGTTAAGTGGCAAAAGATTTTATAGGTGGATCTTGAGTTGGGGAGATTATCATGGATTATCTAAATGGTTCTAGTGTAATCACAGGGCCCTTATAACAGGGAGGCAGGATATCAGGGGAGAGGCGATGTGATGATGGAAGCAGAGATGACAGTGCTGAACTTTGCAGATGGAGGATTGCAGCTCTCAAACTGAAAAAGCCAAGTAAACAGAGTCTTCCCCTGGAGTCTCCAGAAGAGCTAGGTATGCTGACTCCTTGCTTTTAGCCCATTGAAACTGATTTCGGACTTCTGACCTCCAGAACTGTAAGAGAATTCATTTGTATTGTGCGTGTGTGTGTGTGTGTTTTCCGCATAGCACGGCTTGTGGGATCTTAGTTCCCCAACCAGGGATCGAACCTGGGTCCTTGGCAGTGAAAATTCAGAGTCCTAACCACCGGACTGCCAGGGAATTCCCCATTTGTATTGTTTTTAAGGCACTAAGTTTGTGGTTATTTGTTACAGCAGCAATAGGAAACCCATCCTTGGTCAATGGGACTGTCATCAAATTGGGTGTCTAATATGATAAGATGTTTTAGGCTCATCTTGAACCTATTCTGCCTCAGACCTGGAAACAGTAATTTCTCTAGAGTACTTGTTCCTTTTAGTGGGAAATGGTATTTTGAGACTACTAGAAGCATTCATGGATTTGTCCTCTTCCCCCCCACCACTTAAAAAATATATAAAATACATATAACATAAAATTTACCATCTTAACCAACTTTTTTTTTTTTTTTGGCTGCACTGGGCAGCTTGTGGGATCTTAGTTCCCTGACCAGGGATCAAACCCATGTGCCCTGCAGTGGAAGCATGGAGTCCTAACCTCTGGACCTCCAGGGAATTCTCCATCTTAACCAATTTTAAGTGTACAGTTCATTAGTGTTAACTGTATTCACATTGCTGTGCAACAGATCTCTAGACTTTTTCACCTTGCCAACCTGAAACAATACCCATTGAGCAACTCCCCATTTCCCCAGACTACGCCCCACCCCATGGATATTTACCTTTAAAAAACTG